GGCCACATAACCACGGAAATGTCTTTGGACAGCGCTGGCTCTTCGGCTTTGAAACGGAGATGAGCACCGCAACCCTAGAGTCGGATTCGACTGGCTTTCGAGCAAGGGAACCTTTACCTTTACCTTTAAGTATGGAGAGCAGTGATAACTCCCATTAAAACGTGTTCTACTGTGAAGTTTTGGTCCTTGTAATGAATTCATCTGTGTTATATATTAAATTGTTTTTAAAAAGTGGACAGGCAAGGGAAACAGAGGACAAAGGGCCCGATCATGATTCGGCACAGTTCCTGCACCCTTTGATTTACCGGGCCCCACCCTTCAACCTGACCAACAGCTTATGTAGAGGTATTGAATGGTATGTTCAGTGTTGACAGACAAAAACAGGAGTTGTATGTTTCATGTTGATAGTTAAAAACAGGAATGATATGTTCTGTTACCAGCCCCTGCTGTGGTGGGTAGAATGGGATGGGGCAAGTGTGTTGTGCATGCAAAGGGGCCCTGCTTGTGACTTTTCCGCCTGAAGCCCATTTTAGCTTCCCAGTCCGCCCCTGTTTCCCAGGGGAGGCTCTTCTCCCCCCCCCCATCATAGCAAAAGACTTATGGTTGAAACTAAGGCCTGCGGGTGTTGCCAGGAGACGAAATGGAGGTGGAGATTTCACAGGCATGTTATCTGTGGCATTTCCTATGCAAGGGTGCAAAACTCTTGCAAAAGACTGGAGCAATTTATTCAGCATAGGTGAAAAACAAATGAACCTCATTTGGAATACTGTGTGCAATTCTGGTCACCACACCTTAAAAAGGATATTATAGCTTTGGGAAAAGTGCAGAAAAGGGCAACTCGAATGATAAAAGGGTTGGAACACTTTCCCTATGAGGAAAGGTTAAGGCGCTTGGGGCTCTTTAGCTTGGAGAAACGACGACTGAGGGGTGACATGATCGAGGTTTATAAGATTATGCATGGGATAGAGCAGGTAGAGAAAGAGGTACTTTTCTCCCTTTCTCATAATACAAGAACTCGTGGGCACTCCATGAAATTGCTGGGTTAGAATGGATAAAAGGAAGTACTTCTTCACCCAAAGAGTGATTAACACTTGGAATTCACTGCCACAGGAAGTGGTGGGTGCTACAAGCATGGACGGCTTCAAAAGGGAATTAGATAAGCATATGGAGCAGAGGTCCATCAGTGGCTAATAGCCACAAGGTCTAGATAGGGACTCTGGGGCAAGTGATGCTCTGTCTTCTTGGTGCTTGGAGGGGGGGGTCAACAGTGGGAGGGCTTCTAGTGTCCTGGCCCCACTGGTGGACCTCCTGATGGCACTGGTATTTCTGGCCACTGTGTGATACAGAGTGTTGGGCTGCATGGGCCTTTGGCCTGATCCAACATTGGCATCTCTTATGTTCTTATGTTCTTATGAACTAAAATCTATTCAGAAAATTCGGTGGAAAAGCATGTGTCGAAAACCAGAACATCTATACAGAAAATTCGGCAGAAAGGCATTTGTTGTCGAAATCTCATTGATCGATTGCAGTGATTGTAGAATAAATCACAACCCCTGTGGACTTTATTAATTTTAGTTTCACAGTCTTAGCTGTTTTTCAAGTGAGCATGTGTAAGAACTAGGAGGGAGGATTCCCTAGGATTCCCATTTGATTAATGGCTGAGATCACCATGCTCAACAGACTCCTTTTTTTTTGTCTGTTTGGCTTATACCAAGGACCCATTAAGGAGTCCCCATGCAGACGAAGAGACCATTTTTCTCCACCCAGACATGGGCTTGAACATAGGGCTGCCAACCTCCAGGTGAGGCCCAACGTTGTCCCAGAATTACAACTGATTTCCAGACTATACAGAGCAGTTCCTCTAGAGGAAATGGAAGCTTTGAATGGTGGAATCTGTGGTACCACATCCTTATTAAGCTACCTCCACCACTAAATCTCCTGGAATTTCCCAAGCCAGAATTGGCAAGCCTACTCAGGAATTGGGTTGTGTAGAGGAACTTCAGTGTGTATGAACTGGCATGGGATGGCGGGGTGGTCAATTTCCATAAAATGTTGTTTTAACTTTAAACAGTGGGTGTAATGAGGAGGGAGGGGGGAGTGCCCCCCCCGCAAGTCCTCTCACAGGAGGAGGAAAGGCTGCGTTCCTTTCCACCAAGTTCTCGGCTCCAGGAATGAGAGGCGGCCCCATTTGGTTTTCTTTTCTAGGTGAGATTGGCCTTTCTGAAGAATAAATTGGTAGTTTTAAATAGCAAATTAAAAATTACCATGAAATTAAAAGACACCTGCTCCTTGGGAGGAAAGTGATGGTGAACCTAAACACCAGGATAAAAAGTAGAGACATCACCCTGCCAATCAAAGTCCGCATGGTCAAAGCAATGGTATTCCCAGTAGTCATGTATGGCTGCAAGAGTTGGACTATAAGGAAGGCCGAGCGCCGAAGAATAGATTCTTTTGAACTATGGTGCTGGAGAAGACTCTTGAGAGTCCCTTGGACTGCAAGAAGATCAAATCAGTCAATCCTAAAAGAAATCAACCCTGACTGTTCCCTGGAAGGCCAGATAATGAAACTGAAGCTCAAATACTTTGGCCACCAAATGAGAAGGGAGCACTCCCTGGAGAAGACCCTGATGCTGGGAAAGATTGAAGGTCAAAGAAGACGGGGACGGCAAAGGATGAGATGGTTAGACAGTGTCATAGATGCAACGAACATGAAATTGAGCAAACGTCAGAGGACGGCGAAAGACAGGAAGGCCTGGCGTGATCTGGTCCATGGGGTCATGGAGAGTCGGACTCGACTGTGCGACTGAACAACAACGACAAACTGAAGAATGTCCAGTGTTATGTTATTATATGTATTGCAACTGATTTGAGTAATATGAGTAGGTAGGAAACTAAATGGAATTAAATGTAACGGGAAGCACAAGATAATAGGAGTCAGAATAGGAAGTAATTCATTTTTAGTAATTACGTATAATAGGAGTCAGTGGATGAGCTGGAGAATACTTTCTATTAATAAAAGGGGGTGAATAATATAATAGACTGCTGGAAAGTTAATATTCTGTATCATTGCTCACTATGAAAAATTAATCAACTGTGAATTAACCCCCCCCAATAAAATGGCATCCACCAGATGGGGACACTGGACCCAACCAGTGAACTCCATCACAGTCATATGTTACTTTTGAGTATGGTCGCCATGCTCCAGGTGGCCTTGGAGATCTTCCAGATTTACAATTGATCTCCAGACTGCAGAGATCAGTTCCTTTGGAGAAAATGGCTGCTCTGGAGGGTGGATCTCATTATACCCTGCTAGGGCCCCTCCCTTCCCCAAACCCTGTGCTCTCCAGGTTCCATGCCAAAAACATTAGGAATTGCCCAACCTGGAGTTGGCTACCTTACTGGTGTGTTCTTCAGGGGTCATTTCCTGCAGGAGCGCACAGGAGCGGAGCTCTGGCAGTAAAGAGCCCAGGGGGCGGGCACATGCAAGAAGCCCTGCCCCCTGCTCCCAGCAGCCCTCAGTCAGAGCAAGAAGCAGCCAGGTAAGTTGCAAAGCCCCCCCCGCCCCCCGGTCCAAAACAGTCCAGTGGCACTTTTAAAACCAAGTTTTATTCAGGTACAAGCTCTCCCTCCTCTGCGAGGACAGCTCTGCACGTCCCCCCCCCAATAGCTAGCAATCCAAAACAGTCCAGTGGAGCCTGAGCGGTGGGTGTTGCCTTCTGACACACTTCCGGTGATGTCAGGGGGTGTGGCATATGCAAATAAGTTATGCTAATGAGTTATGCTAATGAGCTCCTGCACCTCTTTTTCTACGAAATGACCCCTGGTTCTCCTTGTTTGCATTGTTCCCACTCCAGGTTGGGGCTGTGTCACAACGCAGA